GTCCCATTTCAAACAAGGAGAGTCTGGATAATACCAAACTACAAGACAACAGTTAGTGCGTGTGAACTGTCAGTGCTGCCAAACTGAATTACCATTCCCACCCAAAATAAACACCCTGAAGTTGAACAAAGCTAAGCCATCCTTCTGTAAGGTATGTAGTGGATTTAGCTAGTGAGAAAGACAGATCTTTGATTTGTCAAAGCATTCTTAAAATACTGCCATTTTTCTAAGCCAGAAGTTGAAAAGGTCAAAGGGGAGCTTTAAAATGTGATAACATTGTCTTGGAATTGGGGATGTATGGTATTTGCTAAGCAAATGCCAGACTGAATGAATGTCAGATGAACTTTGCTCCACTCTGGAGCAACCAGGAGCACAGCATAAAGACCAGCTCTCCAATCCTGACTTGACCACTATTGCTGTTACCTGGAAAAGTAACCTACACTCTGTGGACCTCAGTTTTTCCATGTGTAAAATAAGGAGACAGGCTCAGAAAGTAGATAGAGGATCTTAATTGAAATGATCATTTCTTGGGAAAAAAAAATATAGTAAAATGGTTTTATTAGCAGGTTATGAACCCAGTCATTATCTTTTTTTTATTAAATCTTTATTATTCAGATTATTACAGTTGTTCCTCTTTTCCCCCCCCATAGCTCCCCTCCACCCGGTTCCCACCACACCCTCTGCCCTTACCGCCCTGCCACACTGTCCTCATCCATAGGTGTACGATTTTTGACCAGTCTCTTCCCACACCCCCCACACCCTTTTCCCCCCAAGAATTGTCAGTCCACTCCCTTTCTATACCCCTGATTCTATTATATTCACCAGTTTATTCTGTTCATCAGAGTATTTATTCACTTGATTTTTATATTCACTTGTTGATAGATGTGTATTTGTTGTTCATAATTTGTATCTTTACCTTTTTCTTCTTCTTCCTCTTTTTAAAGGATACCTTTCAGCGTTTCATATAATACTGGTTTGGTGGTGATGAACTCCTTTAGCTTTTTCTTATCTGTGAAGCTCTTTATCTGACCTTCAATTCTGAATGATAGCTTTGTGGGTAAAGTAATCTTGGTTGTAGGTTCTTGCTATTCATCACTTTGAATATTTCTTGCCACTCCCTTCTGGCCTGCATAGTTTTTGTTGAGAAATCAGCTGACAATCGTATGGGTACTCCCTTGTAGGTAACTAACTGTTTTTCTGTTGCTGTTTTTAAGATTCTCTCTTTGTCTTTTGCTCTTGGCATTTTAATTATGATGTGTCTTGGTGTGGTCCTCTTTGGATTCCATTTGTTTGGGGTTCTCTGCGCTCCCTAGACTTGTAAGTCTATTTCTTTCACCAGGTAGGGGAAGTTTTCTGTCATTATTTCTTCAAAGAGGTTTTCAATATCTTATCCTCTTCTGGCACCTCCATAAGTGAGATGTTGGTATGCTTGAAGTTGTCCCAGAAGCTCCTTACACTATCTTCATATTTTTGGATTCTTTTTGCTTTTTGTTTTTCCGGTTGGGTGTTTTTTGCTTCTTTGTATTTCAAATCTTTGACTTGATTCTTGCGACCCTCTAGTCTGCTGTTGGATCTCTGTATATTATTCTTTATTTCAGTCAGTGTATGCTTAATTTCTAGTTGGTCCTTTTTCATATCCTCAAGGGTCTCACTAGATTTATCGAGGGTCTCACTAAATTTATCAGTGGTTTTAGAATATTTTTGAAAAACCTTATAATCGTGGTTTTTGAACTCTATATCCAGTAGTTTGCTTTCCTCCATTTCTGTCATTTGTGATCTGTTTCTTTGTCTCTGCATTTTGGCTGCTTCCCTGTGTTGATAGAGTGGCTTTGTGCGCTAGGTGCCCCATAGGGCCCAGTTGCTCAGCCTCCCCAATTACCTGAGGTGGACACTCTTGGTGCACCCCTTTGGGCTTTTTACACAGTCTTGTTGTAGTTAAGCCTTGGTTGTTGTTGGTATCACTGGGAGGAATTGACCTCCAGGCCAATTGGCTATGAGACTCAGCTGTGTCTATGGTGGGAGAACTTCTGTGCTGGAGACACCCTTATGGGGCAACACTTGCTTCAGTGGGGCTTGATGCTCACTGAGTCTGCCCCCTGAGTTTGTCCCTTATGTATCTGAGGAGTTGTAATCTGGATGGTCCCACTCTGACCACTGGGTACACTGGCTCTTGGATCTCTAAGGAGGTGCTAATTTAGCCTCTGCCTGAGGCTACCCAGCAGCAGCTACGGAGAGATCTGCAGATTCCTCTTCTTTGTTTGGGGTTTGGAGGTGCTCAGATGAGGCCCAGCTGTGAAGCAATGCAAGGTACTGTGGGGCCTTGGGCCTTCTTTTGGAGGTTCTGGGTCTCTCTGACCTAGCTGCAGTTTGTTAGGTAATTTTAGATTGCAAAGGGCCAGGCCATTCATATGCAAAGGCCTCTGCCCACAGCTTGGGTGGGACAGGGTCTCAGGGAATCAACAGGGTGGAGCAAACAGCTATGGCTGATCCTTAGCCCTGCCCTAAGAGGACCCAGGTCTCAGTGTCCTGCAGTAATCGCTTCAAGCACCTTTGAGAGAAAGCCGCCCTCGAGTTCCGACTGATGCCAGTCTGTCCAGTTTCTCCCCAGAGACTCGCCCAGAACTGAATTTCAGAACAGTCAGGAGCTTGAGACTCCCTCCCAATTGAAAAAGACAACCATGTCCTCAGTTGCCAGTCCTTTCTGCGTGCACCTCCGTACCTCTGCACTTTACTTCCACACCTCCTCTGAGTCTCAGTGTGCTTTTCTCTTTCCTTCTAGTTATAGAATTTCCACTCAGCCAGCCTTCTTGTGGTTCTGGATGATGTCCATTGTGTCTTCTAGTTGTAGTTTTGAAGTGGTTGTGCGAGGCAGCAATTTCAGGTGTTTACCTATGCCGCCATCTTGGTTTCTCCTCATTATCTTTTTAATGGACCAAATATCAAAGTTTTGCCTGACTGGAGTGAACATTGTCCAGTGCACTGAAAGGTGGCTGGTTTGATTCCTGGTCAGGGCACATACCTGAATTGTGGGTTTGATCCCCAGTTTCTCTCCTCTCCCCGCAAACCTCTCCCTCCCTTCCTCTCTCTTCAGATGAGGATTTTTTTAAGTGTCAAAGGTTTTCAGGTATAGTGAAAATTAAGTAAGGAAGTGAATCTTTAATTAGAAATTTCAAAAGAGAACTGAGGTCACAGAAGGGATTTTGTTAAAATAAAAAATTGGTTGTATCAATTCAGCAACCATTAAGTTGTTAGTATCCTTAGTTTTAGGTGTATTAGTCTTATCTCCTCAACTATTAGGTTGAATCATGAAATTGCATTTTTGTTGGTTAAAAACAGTCAGGCATCATCAGTTTCACCCTATAGATGTCATCTCCATGGGAGCAGAGAACACATAGTGCTGTGTGTTATTTCCTTTAGTTCTTGCTATAATGCCAGACACATTTGTTCTTTGACATTATGAATTGAAAGTAGTATTTGGGAGCAGAAAATCTTTTTGAAATTACTTAGAGCAATATATTATTTTTTAAAATGAAGAAAATAATACCCCAAAAGTTCTTAGAATTATAGTTCTTTTGATGTTCAGAATGACATTGAGACATTATAAATAAGTCTTCAATGTGCTTTGAATATTCTACCTACCAGTCAAAGGAACTAGTCTAATAAATTTTATAGTAATAGTTCTTAGCAATTGAAGTTGGCAAAAGGCATTAATCTTTTGCCATTTTTGTTGACAAGGAGATTAACATTTGGGGTGGCGGTATTTTTTAATGGTTAATGCTAACAAGAAAAACTTAATCCAAAGGAACATGGTAATAATAATACCTGAATATCAACATGATCTGAATCTGAAACATGATCCCCAAATGCATTACTTTCTAATATTTGATAAACTTTATTTCTCTATTAGGAAACAATCTCTGCTTGTGGATTTAGTTACTGTTTATAGAAAGGTGTCATAGCTTAGCAAAATTAGAAATAGACTAAGTGCAAAGATATTTATAGGTCATGCTTTTTTACTTAGGTTGAACACACTGTGAAACCCTGCATTTTTCATGACTTTCTGCCATTTTAGTTACAGAATAATCACATTTTAGTGCATTTGGTTTAATATTTGCCAATAACAGTTTACTCTGAAACCTACAAAAAACCCCAAATAATAAGAGTCCAGCACCCTATCTTTATAAATGAGGAAACTGAGGCCTAATAAATTTAAGTAACTCTCTGTACCTTGGAGTTAAGTCACAGAGCAAGTTGGAACTTGGCTATCCTACTGCACAATGTCTATTTTGTCATTTGTCCTTTTAATTGCAAAATCTTTGCCTCATATGAGTACCCTCTCAAAAATGGGTGAAGATTAAGTAAATAATGCTATGATCTTGGTGCTTGGAATGAAGCAGAGACTTTTTTTTTTTTTAAGAGACTTTTATTGATGGTGACATGTTATCTATACTAATAAAAGGGTAATATGCTGATTAGTCTGGACCTCCTTCCGGACAAAGCCACGGTGGCGGGAGCCAAGGCAGAGGCGGTTAGGGGCGGCAGGAGAGAGCAGTTAGGGGCAATCAGGCCGACAGGGGAGAACAGTTAGGAGTGATCAAGCTGGCAGGGGAGAGCAGTTAGGGGCGATCAGGCAGGCAGGCAGGTGAGCAATTAGGAGCCAGCAGTCTCAGATTGCGAGAGGGATGTCGGACATCCCCCAAGGAGTACTGGATTGGAGAGGGTGCAGGCCAGGCTGAGAGACCCTTCCCCCCCTGCCCCCCCGATCCTGTGCATGAATTTCATACACCAGGCCTCTAGTATGAATATATTTAAAAGCTGTGTCCAGATTTAATGACCACTGAACAACTGATGGAGACCACAGGGCAATACTGTCACTCTTTGACAAATTTGCTAGTTTTCCAAACCCTTGGAAGAAGCATCAAGTAAAGCTTTGAAACAGAGGCCTATTGGATACATGTCCTATGCCTGATGGCTTTTTGTTTGTTTGTTTTTCCTGTTAGAAACATGAGTTCAGCTGGCCCTGATGGGAGGAAAGTGATGAGACGGTGTGATGGACTGATTGATTCGCTGGTCCATTATGTCAGAGGAACCATTGCAGATTACCAGCCAGACGACAAGGTGATGCAAGAGTTAAATATCTTACATGTTGAATTATTTTGTCTTACTAAGACTCTTCAGAGTATTCTTAAAGTAGTAGTTTGGGTTTAGTTTTATTCCTTAACTCATTTACTGGGCTGAGGATTTCCCATACACACTTAAAAATATTAAAATATATCAAGCCCCATTTTTTTCTATTTTCCAGACTTAAATTCCAACTATCCCTTTAACAACTCTGCATAGATATTTGAAAGGAGCCCAAATGCTCCATGTTCAGCAATGAACTTAAATTCATCTCTTCCCTCCTCCCAAACTTGCTCCTTCTCTGTGTAATCTTTCTTCATAATCACCACCATCCACCAAATAAAAACAGAAAGATGGGTAATGTCTCACTGCCTCTCCTCACATCCCACAGCAATAAGTCATGTCCATTCTTCCTGCAAAATGTCTTTTGGTTCATCATTCCTCCCTAATGCTGCCTACCTCTGCGGTCCTAGGTTGTGCAACTTTCATATTGATCATTGCAATTGGCTCCTGATTGGCCCCTACAAACAACATCTCCTCCTGTTTTCCAATTCCACATGGCTACTAAGTTATATACAAAAAATGCCGAGTCATTCTGAACCCACTCTAAACAGTAAACCAGAAGGGCTCGCCAATGTTTAAGAAATTCAGCCTCAGCACCTTAGCACTGTGTTTGTGATCATTGGTGGTCTAGCCTTAGCCTTTCCGGCCATACTCATTCTATTCCCCAGGTTCCCTATAGTCCAAGCATCCAGTAAACCTTGTAAGATCTAAAGCCTAGTAAGTCCTGTGATATCACACTTGCAAAGGGATGTCTATATGTATCTGATTAATATTTGTGTGTTTTCTCAGGCCACAGAGAACTGTGTGTGCATTCTTCATAACCTCTCCTACCAGCTGGAGGCAGAGCTCCCAGAGAAATATTCCCAAAGTAACTATATTCAAAACCGGAATATCCAGATGGACAACAATAAAAGTATTGGGTGTTTTGGCAATCGAAGCAGGAAAGTAAAAGAGGTATGTTGGGAGGGCTTGGAAAGAAAAAGTGGTTATGTATGTACATTTCCATGTACTTAGTATACTAGGGTTGGCAAAAGTAGGTTTCCAGTTGTGAGTACACAAAGCATAGGGTTTATTCTTGTATTATTATTTATTAATTATTGAATTAATTTTCATATGAACAATTGTAGACCTACTTTTGCTTGCCCCTCATGTCAGGCATTATTTTGAGTTCTTTTCATCCTTACATCAACCCTACAATGTGTGTATGATTAATACCCTCATATATTGAAGAGGAAACAGAGGTACAAAAAGGTTAATCAGTTTTCCCAGAATTATTCAGCAAATTAATAGAGGGGATGAGATTCAGTTCCAGGCAATTCGGCTCTAGATTTGCATTGTTAGCCATTAAAACCGTACTGCTTTATGGCCTATTGCTTAGGAAATAGGCTTAATGCACCATGGCCAACGGTTTATAAAGTTTCAACATTTAAAAACAGCCCAGATATTCAGATTTGGACATTCTAAAAACAAACTTCGGACATCCTAAACGCAAATCCGTAAGAAGGAATACTGTTCACACTGGCATTTTATGGAAACTGAAAGAATGTGACCTCGCCTACTCCTCGGGGTGTCGTGGTGTTTGTGAACTTGGAGAACAACTGGTAAATTTAGAATCCTGATGTGATCCCGGACACTTCACTGGACTCGGAGGGAAGAGGCCTGTGTTTCTTATCTTCAGAGCGTTTGTGCCTAATTTAGCTTTCCGTTTACCAGCAGCCTGGAAACTGTTCTAGGGCAGCCTTTGCTTTATGCTCTGAGTTCTTTCTCACAGTGAAATGGAAAGTTGAGGGTATGGGATGTTGCTAGGCAGAAATGGTCATCATGGGCTTAAAGTGAAGTGATAGGGAATCATACATATTTGCATTTTCATTTCCATTTCAGGGGCTTCTTACTATACAAATTATGAGTCTCTCTAGACTAGTCAGTGTTCCTAGTCTCTTGGTTTGGGTGTGGAATTGTCGAAATCCCTTGAAGGCATTAATTCTAGATCTTATCGTGTGTGTGGTTAGCAATACCAGGACATGCCGATGCTCGAAGAAAAGAGCAACCCCAAGGGTGTGGAGTGGCTGTGGCACTCCATCGTGACCCGGATGTATTTGTCCTTGATCGCCAAAAGTGGCCGAAGCTACACCCAGGAAGCATCTTTGGGAGCTCTCCAGAATCTCACGGCAGGAAGTGGCCCAGTGAGTATCATGCCTGTTTTCCTACTTTGTAAAGTAATGCCATTATAGACATACCTACATTAGGTTCAAAGATGAGACGGTGAGGTAAGAACAAAAACATTCTCCCTTCAGTTAAGACAGTTCTCTGTCCTGTTGATTCTGGATGAATACCAGTTCAAGGCCTCTCAGGAATTGCCAGAGAGTCGCAGGGTTCCAGAACGTTCAGCTTCTGCCAAGCCAGGTCACTGTGAGTGAAGGACTCATACATACTGATACTTGTCTTAGCTCTTTCAGTTACAAGTCCCAGAATCCCACCTAAACTGACTTAAGTTTTAAAAAACAATTTTTAAAGATTAATTTCTTGCTTACATAACTGCAAAGTCCAGGTGGGTCTTCCTTCTGTCATGGTGGAATGTAGGTGCCCCAGAAACTGGAGTTATGACTATATCTAGGCTTCATTTCCCTCTGTTGGTTTCTTTTCTTTTCTTTTTAAAGATTTTTGATTGATTTTTAGAGAGAGAAGAAGGGAGAGGGAGAGAAAGAGAGAAACATCAGTCGGCTGCCTCCTGTACACCCTTTACAGGGATAGAGCCCACAACCCCGGTATGTGCCCTGACCTGGAATCAATCCAGCAACCAACTGAGCCACACTAGCCACAGCTGTTGGTGTCATTCTTAACAGCTCTCCTCATGTTGTAGCACAGATAGCACTAATGATTTCAGGCTTACATTTTATCCAGCTCTATGTCCCCATAAGAAAATAAATTACTTTTGCCCAGTAGCTCTATTAACAAATTGTGGACCAGTAGTTTTATTGCTAGTTTTACACAGTGGCCAGATAAGTTTCTATTGAACAAGTACAAAAAATGTTTTACATAAATGTTAAAGGCACACTTTAAAATTAAATACCCATTGCATTTTGAAGTTATTTATTACATGTTCTTACAAGCAAATATCTTTTTAAAGAATTCTCATAATTGTCCACAACCCTTAGAACAGAAAACACAAGAATCTTCATGGCCTGTCTGCAATGTGTTAAGAACTCAGACCAGTGTGGCTCAGTGGTTGAGCATCAACCTATGAACTAGGAGGTCACTGTTTGGTTCCCGGTCAGGGCATATACCTGGGTTGCAGGCTCAATCCTTGGTGTGGAGCATGCAGGAGGCAGCCGATCAATGATTCTCTCTCATCACTGATGTTCCTATCTCTCTCTCACTTCCTTCCTCTCTGAAATTAATGAAATCTATACTAATAAAAGGGTAATATGCTAATTAGACCAGACATCTTCCAGGCATCCTTCTGGAAAAAAACACAGTGGTAGGGGCCTAAGCAGAGGCGGTTTGGGGCGGTCAGGCCAGAAGGGGGAGCAGTTAGGGAGTGATCAGGCCAGCAGGGGATGGCAGATAGGGGGTGATCAGGCCAGCAGGGGAGGGCAGTTTGGGGGTGATCAGGCCAGCAGGGAGGGCAGTTAGGGGTGATCAGGCCAGCAGGGAGGGCAGTTAGGGGTGATCAGGCCAGCAGAGGAGCTGTTAGGGGGAGATCAGGATGGCAGGCAGGTGAGTGGTTAGGAGCCAGCAGTCCTGGATTGCAAGAGGGATGTCCAACCCCTGTGGGATTGGGCCTAAACTGGCAGTCGGACATCCCCCAAGGGGTTCTGGATTAGAGAGGGTGCAGGCCAGGCTGAGGGACCACCCCTCACACACATGCACAAATTTTGTGCACTGGGCCTCTAGTGTGTGTGTGTGTGTGTGTGTGTGTGTATTTTTTTAAAGAGCTCAGAGAATTAGTCTTCCTTACCCATTTCTGAATCAGTACCAGGGCCAGGAGTCTATGAGATGTTCTGATTGGCCAGGTCTGGGTCATGTGCCCACATGTGAATTTCAGAGGCATGGATATGAGCAGGGGAGGGTCACTGACACTTCTACCACTGAAATAGACTGAAATGGTAAAGGAGTAGTAGCATCTCAGTGGAAAATCAGAGTGTTGTTACCAAAAGGAATGATAAATGCTGGGCAGGCAAACACAACAGATGTCCACTGCAGTATGGAGTTGGAAAGGACATCTGTGCTTTGGTGTCCAAGAGCTTTAACTATACAATAAGAACTGCTTCTCACTTACTTTATATGAGCAAAGTCAAAATATATAAAACAGTACAAGCTTATTCCCACCGCCGTATATTTTGCACCTCGCTACACATAGTCGGGGATTCTATAAATATGTAACTATTTGAACTAAAATTATTTGCCTTGATCATAAAATGATTAAAATAAACCCCCTCAGAATAATTCATGGTATGGCCAGGTGCCAAGTATCCATCCTTATAGGGAAAAACATCTTATAGATAACAAAAATATTATTTATTCTTCATTTGAGAAATCATATTCATTCTTCAATGAGTTTACACAGAAGCTTGCTCTGCTCTGAATCAAATTGTTCAGTACTAAAACCAACATTTATCTTAGCACTGTGGTTAAGAATATGTATGAATAAACTTTCGATCTTATTTATTTTCTGTAAAATGTACTTGTGCACAAACAGAAGTGGGAAACTATCAAAGAGACCTGAATGACACAGGGACATTAATTTATTACCTTACCTTCTCGTTTTTCCATGCTGAGTTTCCCAAAACTACTATCCTTTCCCAAACCACAGAAGCCTTCTTATTAACCAGCAGCCAACTTACAAGAAAATGTCAATGGAGAGTATTATGCTAAGCAAAATAAGCAAATCAGAGAAAGATAAGTATCACATGATCTCACTCATTTGTGGAATCTAATGAATAAAATAAACTGATGAGCAAAATAGATCCAGAGATATGGAAGCATGAAACAGACTTTGGAACATCAGGGGGACGGCAGAGGAGGGTGGGTAGGTGGGAAGAGATTAACCAAAGAACTTGTATGCATATATGCATAACCCATGGTCACTGACAATAGGGTTGTAAAGGCCTGGGGCAGAGGGTGGGTGTGGGCTAGAAGGGCTCAAGGGGAGGGTGGGGGGGAGGGACATAATAATACTTTCAACAAAGATTTTTTTAAAAGAAAATGTCAGAAATTAAATTGCACTTTGTGTCTGTGTGTGTTTAAGCTTGTTATGCTCTAAGGATGACTGACTGAGCAAACCCTTTAAGGTTGGATTTTAGCCTCTTGCAATCCAAGATCTCTCATGGAATCCAAGCAACAGAGATATCTTCATAACTGCCCTTATTGTGTGTAACCCCTGACCAGTCCGGTCCCCTGAAAGGAGGCCTACAGTGAACTGGTATTAATCCAGAATCAAGGTTATGAGAATCGAACTTGCCTGGAGATTTATAGGAGAAATTATTAGCAACATGGGACAATGTTACAAGGACTCTGTTTTTGTAAGTTAGGAGATGCTTTTTATTAACACTTTTACTTTTATGAATATCTTTTCTGATTATTTTCCTAACTTTGTTATGCTTAGATGGTGTGATTAACAACAATATTTGGTTTTGTAATTTCTAAAAAGAATCACTGAATAGAAAAACATGAGAAGCAAGCCATTATACATAATTCCAGAAAAAATCCACTCCATAAACCTTGTGTTCCTAACTGACCTTTAGGAAGCCTAGGAACGGTGAGGTAATTGATGTGGTCATCTATAATGGATAGATGGGTAGGAGGAGGAGAAGGCTCTAAAGCCCCCAGTAGATGTTGGGAAAGGACCAATAGGTCTTGAGATGACAAAGAAAATGCTGTGTGAGTGACAGAGCTGGATAGCAGTGACTCAGGAGAGCAGAGTTTTGCATATGAGGAAAGACAAATATCTAGATGAGCCATTGGGAAGAGAGAGGAATCCAAAGCCCACCTCTGTGCCTGAGACACGGGGGTTGTACAGAATAAATTGCCTCCTGTCTAGAATGGCTACAGGGGAGGATTCTTCTCAGTGGTTATTGAACTTTTTTTGAGTCAAGGAGACTGAGTATCTAATAAAAGTTATGGGCCCTTTCCCTGAGAGAGATAAACACAAGAATAGTTTTAAGGTCCACCTGTCCCCTCCCTGAAATCTATATTGGGCCCTATATTAAGAGCCCCTGTTCTAAAAGGTACAGTGGAGAACGTAAGGACAGCAATCTGTAGGGGGGGGAGGGAGGGGGAAAGCTGTGTTTGAATAAGATAAACAGAGAAGATACACCCTGAAGAATGGTCATGAACTGCAGAAATTTCTGGCATGGTGACCTCAAATTAGCTTCGAATAGAACTCTATAAAGTTGCCGACACACAAGCTAAGGCATTTGTTGGGGTCCAGCCCCAGCAGGTCCAGGGGTTCCCAAAGGTGTGGAAGAAATGACATGGAGGCAGCTTTCAGGTGATCAGCATAGTTGGGTTCTCCCTTTAGTGTCCTCTTACATCTGTATTTATACCGTTTGATCCTATAAGCATGCCTCTATAATTACATCATGGTATGTTTTGGGTAACGTTCTACAGTTCCTTGTTTCTTATCTGACCTTTGCCAAAAATCCTGTCTCTATCTAGTTCTGTTGATTTTAATCTTGTCTAGGTTAATCTCTGTGTTCCATTATAAGGGCTATTCCAAGGTCACTGTTCTACTGATAAGCTACAAGGAAGTGACTGAAGGAGATTCTCCTACCCAGTAAAGGTTATGTCCTCCCAGCCTCGCTGCTTGCCTTCCCTGGGACTGCCCTGTGTCGATGGGTCTCCAGGGGTATAGGCTTTGGTGCTTTCCCTGGTGGGCAGACCCCTGGGGATGCGGGCCAAACAAGTCCCAAATTTACTGCCAACAGTCATAGTCCAGGTTCTTCATAAGTAGTACATGGTATTTCTGTAACACTAGGGGGTTTCACTGATTTATTCTCTTCCTTCGTCCTGTTAACCCCTAACCTGGGGAAACAACATTTCTCGGGGAGGTGGTCCTGGTTAAAACACATAGCGCTTAAGAGGGGGAGCAAACATATGTCATATACGCCAGGTCCCTTGAAACATAAGCAGTGCAGATGTTTCTTCCCTGCAGCGACTGCGTCAAGCAGCAAGGGTGGATCTGCTTCCAGCAGGCATTGGCATTGTTGGAGGTTTGCTGGTGCTAGGAAGGGCCTAGTCGGAACTCAGATGCCCTGTGAAAGCAGGCGACCAGCCTAATTCTAGAGATTTGCCTCTAGAGGACCTGGTCCCACAACTAGCATATGAGCCTCTGACACAGAGCATAGACTTACAGATGGTCTGACTAGCAATGCATTTCTTTTTTTAAAAGCCCAGTGTCTCTTTCATAATAAACTATTTTTTTGGAAACAAATAACTTGATTAAAATATGTAAAATGCCAAAATTTGAACAAGGCGAAACAGAAAAGACGACTAAGCCAACAACCAATAAATGTAACTTTGATTCTACAACTGTGATACCAAAACATTGTCTTTATCATGTTCATATCACAGTGATGAACTGAAACTGTGAATAAAGGGCGGGCTGATCAATAGGAAGGAAAGGCAAAGACAGGCCCATTTTATTTATAAACAGAAGCAAAAATTATAGTAGCTAACCAAACCCAATGCTATATTTAAAAACACTGCATAAACTGTTTTTACCCAGTAATTCAATTGAAACCCTAATAAGGATTTAAAGACAGTATCTGTATGGTGATTTAGCCCCAGTTCTAGTTTTGAAAACATCTTGCTCAATCTCTAGCCATCGACAGAAACAGCATTATTGTGAAGTCTATTGCAATAGTATTTATAGGATGTGTCCCACGAAACAGATGCCGATGTCAGTAGCGCAGACCGTGGTCCAGAAGGAAAACGGCCTGCAGCACACCCGGAAGATGCTGCACGTTGGTGACCCAAGTGTGAAGAAGACCGCAGTCTCCCTGCTGAGGAATCTGTCTCGGAACCTTTCCCTGTGCAATGAAATTGGTGAGTCAGTAAGAATGGCTGCATGTAGTGTGACCGTGTTGGAAATACAAATGCAATAAAACCTTGTCCTTATCGCATTCTTTTTACAATGACGGGCTGAAAATGTGAATAAAGAGCAAAATGTGATAACTAGGCCTGACTTTTGTGCACCAAGGCATCAAGGGTAGGCTTTCTAACTGCGTCTCCACCAGGAATTTCCTTCATATCCAGCATCTCTCTGTGTTCATTTTAATTACTGCAGAAGATTCAGCCTGGATGGTTTTAGAATAAACACAATGAAACATACTTGCTCCTTTTTATGAAAGTCTGTATTGACAAGGATGATAACTATGTTACACTATCACATAACAATGTTTTCTTTACTTGCTTAGTACTTAGAAAAATCTGATAACTGTGAATCAAGTAAAACAACTATAAAATGACATAATGGGAAGATAATGTCAAAATTAAGTATGCTTCCTAATGCTCTATAAAGTAGTCACTTCACTAAAATTATAAACAAATTTTTGTGGGTTTATTTAATGGAGTGGATTATTCTAAAATTACACACACACACACACACACACACACACGCAGCATGAGAGATACTGAAGTCTGTGGTTATGTTTTAATAATGTCATTTCCAAAGGCAGGAGGCAGCCCAACACTGGACAGGTGGTTTCATGCCCATTATAAATATAACGAGCCTGGAAATTTTTCGGTGGATCTAAAAGAAACTTTGCCATCGGCACTTTCAACATTATGGGAGTGTTCCCATTGTCTCCTGTGGGCTTTTGTGCTCCGCTTCAATTGGGTGTATAATCCTTTGACTTTTTTTCTTTTCCCAAATAAAACGTTGACTCCATCTTTAAAACTTTGCTGATGAAATAACTGCACTCTGCACATTATGCATGTGCCTTCCAGGCAGAAGTGCTGCAGGCCTCGGCGCAGATGAAGCGGTAGCTCCACAGTTTATGGAAGAGATTTCACTCATAAACCGCCCCGCATGTTAAGGGCAATAGTGAGATGAGGCTTCAGCAAGATAAATACAGTTTTTAAACTTTAAATTGGCTTTATGTCAAATATATAATTTGAGTAAAAGGACCTGTCTTGGTTCAGAGTATTAATAGCCAGGAATAAATGAAATCACTTTGAAATGCATGTTTTGTGTTTCTCATGAGAGACTTCAAGGCCAGGTAAAACTTTCCATGTGCTGGCCCGGAATGCAATTATCACATGTCACTTAGATTTAAAGAAATAAATGTAATAGACAACTTAGTGCGGTGACGGAGTAATGGGCCTCCTGCAGAGGACATGGACCTGCATCCTGCAGTGCCACCAAGGTCACCGTGACTGGTCATTTAACTGCTCCAAACAGGGGGAGATTAGTAATCGCTACCTAACAGTGTTTTCCCAGGATCAGGTAACAGTGTACAGTATGTGCAAGCAACAGGAAGTATTTGGACACTTCTCTAGGATCTCAATTCACATTCATTCATTGTTGCAGAATTTTCAAACATCCATGCCTTGGCTTGGGTTTTTAGCCATTACAGTGGGTCCTGGGTTACGTCGAGATCCGTTCCTACTTCACCGTAAGTCGGAACCCACCTACATAAGCATCTACGTCACTCCCATGGAGCACATACACAGCAGTAATGAAGTGAAACAGTAAAAAACATTTAAAAGAAAGATAACAACTCCTGAGCTTTACTTGTGACAAATAAATAATAAAAAACATAAAGCATATATGTACATACACTGAAATGACGGAACTTTTTTTTTTTTCATAAATAAATGGGAGATGGCGATGTAACCTCGAGTCCGACGTAACCCGAGGACTGTCTGTACATAAAATCTCCCTCAACTATATGACATTAAGCTATAACCTTCCTATATCGTGATAAGGCCTTTAATTTTAGATTTCACTATTAAAGATCCAATTTTAATTGTCCCAAAGTGAGTGAGTGAATGTATTTATGGAGGCCCAGTGTGTGTGTGTGTGTGTGTGTGTGAGAGTGAGAGTGTGTGTATGAGAGAGAGAGAGAGAGAGAGAACACAGGGTGGGGCAAAATAGGTTTACAGTTGTGAGTACACAAAAGAATTTATTCTTGTATTATAATAAGAGAGGAAGAGAAATACAGAGACCCTTTCTATATTGTAGTGTTACGCTTTGTCATGAAAACAGTTATATTTTCTCAGAAAAACAAACATGCTACAAAGTGTTAAAGACTCTATCTTCTCTAATTCTCACTCCTTAGACGTGACCCTACCTTTCCACCTTAAAATTGATCTACATAAGTGGACCTGCTGGTGGTGGTGAGGGGGAAAGGTGGGGCTCACTCATCAGTGATTGTTCTCACTGTGGGCAGCCCCGGTCTCAGCAGCCACCACCGCACCTTGCAGAGAGATTGAGCATTTTCTGTTGTGATTGTCACAGACTTACTTTTATGTTTTCCACCTAAATTCAGTGGAAGGAAATTTCATGTTCTCAAGGCCTTTAGTTCTGTGATTTAACTTATTAAAAAGAGGAAACCTTCTCATAGTAATGTATCTGTGTTGAGAGCTTACTAGGCACAGGGTATTATGATGCAGTAACACATGTTAACTTATTTAATCCCTCAAAACAACCCTGTGAAGTAAATACTATTATTACACACCCACTTTACAAATTAGGGAATACCAAGCATAGAGAGGTTAAGTAGCCTACCCAAACCACACAGCCATTAAGTGGCAGAGACAGGACTGAAACTAAAGAGGTGTGGCCTCGGAGGATGAGATCTAAGCCCTTCACCCTCTGCTGCGATGCTGAAACACCGTCAAAAAGGAAGTGTTCCGGCCTTTGAGTAGAAGGTATGCCTTTCCTGTCAGTGGGGCCCAGGTGTCATCAAAGGATGACATTGTTCAGTTCCTTTTATCGCAGGTCTCTGTAATAGGCATGGCAGTCGAAGATAGACATCCGCAAACGAATACTATGACTGTCGTCAAGGGTCCCGTAGCCACATCTGGAATTCATGTAACTGATCACCATGTAGACTCATAGAGAGAGAAGTACAGTTCAAGGTGCCACATAAACTCAGATGAAAAATAATAAAATTAAGCAGAAGTATTTGTTTTAAACTACAATAAACACAACACTGTATTAAAGAGCTCTGAGGAGCTACAAAAGCAAGAGAAATATGTTCCATATCTTTTTTTTAAATAAATCTTTATTGTTGAAAGTATTACATATGGCCTTTTTTCCCCCCATTGCCTTCTCCCCTTTTGTCCCCCCTCAAAAGCCTTCACCACCCTATTGTCTATGACTATGGGTTATACATATACGCATATGCGTTTACTGGTTGATCTCTTCCTACCCTCCCCTTCCATATCTTTTAAGGAGAGTCCAATCTAGTTAGAGAAAAAGAGAAAGCATATGTGAAAATAATTATTGCAAAAAATCAAGTACAAATTCATACTGTCCAAAATATATACCATAGGGCAAGTTATAATGAAATCATCAACCATTACTACCGCTCTTGTTTCTACAAAAGAAGCCAAACTAAAACCCTGCTACCAAGAACTTGCATAGTTAGTGAAAAATAAATTTAAAATAATCTGTCTTTTTAAAATGATACTATTATTTGCGTATTAAAGAAACTTTGGGCAGATAATTTTTTTAAATATATTTAGGTCACCATCAATATTGTTATAGAAAAACAACTATTAATATTTTAATGTATTGCTTCTAAGGTTTCTTATGTGTATTTTGTTTCCTAATGTTATAGTATTATGTATTCTTTATATAAATAAGTATAGATTTTTATATAGAATATGAATATAAGTATTTTCTTATTATTTGTGTGCTTCATAGATATATTTTACATAAAATTCTTTGCAGATGTATTATATTCTATTAGGCTTATTATAATTTTTCATTTATGCATAATGCTATAATAAAGATTTCTACATAAAGCTTTTTCTATTTTTAAAGTGATATCTTTAGTTTGAATTCCTAGAAGTGGAATTACTGAGTCAAACAAAGAATGTGAAAATTTTAAAATTTTTTGCTCTTTCTATCAAATTCCTTTCTGAAAAGATTTCCAGTGTATTGAGCAAACAGCATCATCTTTTTAAAAATCCTTTCAAAACTCCAGTATTAGAGAGGTAACAGCTTTCCATATGCTGTTTTTCCTCTATAAAATGTTCTTTACCCAAAACTTACTGGGATCTTGAGGTTAAAAACAGTGTTTTTAATCAAGTGTTCTTTTTCTCTCATTTTGTAGCCAAAGAAACTCTACCTGATTTGGTTTCCATAATTCCTGACACAGTTCCAAGTACTGAGCTTCTCATTGAAACTACAGCCTCTGCCTGTTACACATTGAACAACTTAATCCAGAACAGTTACCAGAATGCCCGGGACCTTCTAAACACTGGGGGCCTGCAGAAAATTATGACTATCAGCGCAGGCGATACGTAAGTCCTTTAGCACCTGCCCATCGGCTGTCTCCCCTTTCCCACCGCCACTCCCGTGTGTAAATCTAGTTGTAAACATTGTCACTGTGGACCATGGGCAACATTCAGGGCTGGCCAAACTCCAGAGCTTCCAGCATTTTATTAACCTGATGAATTAATTTGTTTCCCAGAACTACAGCTGTGATTTAAGAACAGCAGAATGTAGGCAGAGTGGGAGGACTATGGACAGGGAATACCTTTCACTGAAATCTGTGGAGCCCATGTTGGCCCAGGTGGCTAAGAAGAAGTAGTGATAACACAAGTGGGAGGCCAGCATAATAAGTTCTTCCTCTCCCAGTTTTCTCTGTTACTTCTCTTTCCATTTCTTGTTCCCTTTTGAGAAGAGAAGTCTAATGCATATACATCATCCCACATCCCCTTTTCTATCTTTGAATTTTCCCCATTTAAAAATGGAGGAAGAGCCCTGGCCGGGTGGCTTGGTTGGAACAACACCAAAAGGTTGCGAGTTCGATTCTCATACCTGGATTGTGGATTCAGTCCCCTGTTGGGGCGAGTATGCAAGGCAGCCAGTTGATGTTTCTCTCTCACATCCATGTTTCTCTTTCCCTTTCTCTCTCTCTAAAAAATCAATAGAAACATATCCGCAGATGAGGATTTAAAATAATCTATATATATAAAAGCCTAAGTGACCGTTAAAACCAGACCACCGGTCAACTGGCCTGTCACTATGACGATGCAATGACCACCAGGGGGTAGACAATCAGTGCAGGAGCTGCCCCTGGTGGTCAGTGCAATCCCACAGCAACTTCCTGCCGCTGGCCAACCTCCCACAGTCCCTCCCCCCAGCTGGCTGGCCCCAATAAGCCCGATCAGGAATGGGCAAGGCAGTCCCAATCGGCCCCAATTGCCAGCCAGGCCAAGGGACCTCACCTGTGCACGAATTCATACACTGGGCCTCTAGTCCTATTAATAAAAGGCCAATATGCAAATTGACCAAAGAGCAGAACAGCCGGTCACTATGATGTGCACTGACCACCAAGGGGCAGACGCTCAATTGCATGAGCTGCCCTCTGGTAGTCAGTGTGCTCCCACAGGGCTCACGCTGGTGAGGGCAGCAGTGGTGGCAGGAGCCTCTCCCGCCTCTGTGGCAGCACTAAGGATGTCTGACTGATGGCTTAGGCCCGCTCCCCTTGGGCCTACAGTCAGACATCCCCCAAGGACTCCCGGAATGTGAGAGGGCACAGGCTGGGCTGAGAGGATCCCCCCCACCCCCACCCCCGCCCCTGCAAGTGCATGAATCTTGTGGACCAGGCCTCTAGTAATAAAATAAAAAGAAAGGAAGAGAATGAAAAACCTTGTATAATCAAATATTACTATTACTTAATTTAGAGTGATAGGATCTAAAGGGGGCATGAAGATTACTATCTTTTTCTCTTTATACAATTCTGAATTGTTTGACTTGTTAAAGACAACTTACTTTTGTAAATAACTAAAAAAGAGAGAAATGTTATAGCCCAGTTCTAATGAGTTGCAAAGCAAATGGACTTCCTCTGTAATGGACAAGCATGTGCTTGGCCACACAAGGGTGAGCAGAGGGGTCTGTGGCATCCTGGATGATCACCTGTGTCCTCTACCACAACCCCACCTAGTATAAACCCCTTGTGCTTTGAGCCGCGCTCTGGCAAAGTTCATGGGAGGGAAGACCCCATTCAGAGTCAGGGTCACACGATGAAAAGGAGCACTGGTTAGCAGGGAATATTACCTGTTCCCAGAGCCTGGCAAATAGCAGTTGGTCTGTCTTTGTGGGAAAAAGCGAATTATTGCTGCAAAACAGAAATGACTATTTGCAGTAGTCATCCAAACTTCTAAGCAAATTTCCAAAAGACTGCATGATTTTACTTATTTGAGTACTCAGACATAGCAGGCACATTGGAGTAAAAGTTGCTGGTGAAAGTGGCCTCTTTTGTAGTGTCTCAAGAAAGAAATTTCAAAGGGCTCATGCATGGAGAAGTTTAAATGTAGTGGTAAGATTTTTATTGGGCTGAAGAGAAATAATACACCCTCGGGGATGTAGAGGGTGGGCAGGCTCTAGCAGCAACTTCCTTGAAACTTCTGATAATCCTGCATGTATTTTCTTGGTTCTCCATAACGAGCAAGGTGTCCCTCAAACCATCCAACCCACTTCCCGATTTCTCCTGGGCTCTCACTGGGCCCTGCCCTTAACCAATCCCTTTCCTGGACCTACCAGGGTTTCATGCCCCCTATCCAACCTGATTCTTTCCCCAGATTTTTCCAGGCTAGGCTCTGCCTCTTTATATCACCTTTTGGCTTTTACTTCGCATGCTTCAAGTAGAAGCTCCTCCCCTGTGCCATGTTGACTTCTAAGAATTCTGTTGCGTCATCTGGTTTCTACTGTGCATGTGCTGAGCAGCGGAGTTTTCTCTCCTCCGTCCCATAATCTGGTATCGTCAGGCAGCACCCCCCAGGAAGATCTTCCTGGCTGCTTGCAGGGTTAAGTCTCCTCCAAGACACCCTGAAGTGTGTACATGAATTTAATGCTATAGCCTCCTAGCAAATCCAGCTTAATGGGATGCTGTAACTTCCTAGTGAAGCAGGCCCAATGTGTGATTCGCTTCCCAGTTTATTAAGTTTAATATTTGATTCAGCTCCTTAGTTTATTAAGCTCAGTGTCTGAATCCCCTTTGGTCCCTCTCTTTATTAATAACTAGCTAACTACCTCTGCTTAACACCATCACTTTGGGGAACTTCTTGTAGCTTAGCAACATATGGAGGAGCTAATCTGTTATTTCTTTGTTGCCCCAAGTGTCCATTTGTGAGCCAGTCCTCACATGCCCTGTCTAAAAAAAGAAAAGAGAAAAAGTCAACAAGGAATTTCTACTGTCTGTGCCTGATGCTCCTTGCTTGCTAAAGTGTTGTACAGCTGACCTGTAATTTATGGCATCCGTTTAAATGAAGACATTAACTGAGGCAAGCTCCGATTCCCAGAATTTGAGCTCATTCAGGAATAGCAGAGAAATGACAGTGCTGGTAACCCATGCTGCAGCAGCTTCCAGGGAGGCTCAGTCTTCTTTAATCAGACATTTACAGGGAGTCAGTCTCTCAGTTCATAAGTTCTCTTCTTCTGAGGGGGCATGCATGACATTCTCTATTTCATATCCTCTGGTTTCATTCAAGGTTGAGATCCTTTCACACGGGCTAGTCTGGGGACCAATTATCATTTATATCATTTTATCTTTGAATAAATGAGTTCCCAAGTGTCAACAGCCAACTTATAAACAAATTTTATAAATATAACACCCTTGTGAAGGGGAGGAAAAATACTTTTTTCTCTACCCTTCTAGTGTTATCAGGGGAATTGAGGTATTGGGGATGGAGTCCTTACGATATCTCAAGAAAAAGAATTTTTTGAGACTCACACGGGAGGATGAGTGATTTTTATTTGTGTTGAATTACATCCCTTGGTTTCCAAAGCCCCATTTCCCTTAATCCAGTTCTTGAAGGAGTGCAGCTGGGGCTTCAGTAGAGCTAAAAGCAAAGTCAGTGTCCACAGTTTCCATTCCACATTGCAGCCGGGTCCAGTTCAGCAGCAGCTAGTTATATAGTCCATTAGTCCATTGTGTGTAGGGGTGGTCATGTGGGTGAATGCAGGAAGCAGGAGTGTGAGAGCCCCAAAACTGGGAGTCAATCAAGAGCACAGCACGCTAAGAGCATAAGAGGAACCAAGAAAAAGCAAGAGAGCTAACTCTTTTGTTTAGGGGATTAAATGTTCCCGTGCTTGCAGTGGCCACACCCATTCTGGCCAGTGACCTTTTCCCAGGTGTGACTGACAAACAAGTACCTTTCTAATGTCACCCAAACTTTACTGGTCATGTCTCTCTCGCCCCCTGTTCAGTGCCTTCCTCCAGCAATCTGTAGGGAATAGACTGGCGGCTCCCTGGGGAGTGTAAAGCTTTAACTTCCTGGTGAAACTGCCTAAATGACATGTCTATAATATCTGGCCTTCCCTTTGCTCCTTTCCTGTTACTAATAACTAGGTTAATTACAACAGTATCACTGGGTTCTTGGCTGAGACACCCCTGCAATAAAAAAGAAAGATTAACAAAAGAAAAACAAAGGAAGTTTGATAGCATATAGACCGTCTGTATCCTTGGGAGAGACCCAGGAAAACTGAGTAACTCCTAGAAATGGCCCAAGCCTCTAACAAAAGATGCTGGGGAAGAGGGGAGGCCAGTTTAGGGGGATTCCCAGGAAAAGCACAGTAAACAAGGGTTGTTAGGCAGATTTAACTCCTTGCCTTCTCCGTTGATCAAACTTTCTAAAGATTTAGTCATCCCTCACTTTCTGGTACAGAAACTCCTTACAAGTGGAGATTTTCCTTATAAATGTCTCTTTCAAGGGTAACTTCCACTCAGTTTTCAGAGCTTTCCCTATGTCTGCTGTTTCTTAAAAATAATCAGCTTGCCGAAACCGGTTTGGCTCAGTGGATAGAGCGTCGGCCTGCGGACTGAAGGGTCCCAGGTTCGGTTCCGGTCAGGGGCATGTACCTGGGTTGCGGGCATATCCCCAGTGGGAGATGTGCGGGAGGCAGCTGATCGATGTTTCTCTCTCATCGATGTTTATAGTTCTCTATCTTTCTCCCTTCCTCTCTGTAAAAACTCAATAAAATATATTAAAAAAAATAATAATAATCAGCTAAAATAATCCCGTGCCAGAGAGGCATATTTTGGGTTGGTGTATTCTGTTCCCCTTCACTTGCTGTTGAACTCTTTCCAATTTTAAATATTAGGGACCCATAGCTTTCATGGATTAATTAGTATCTCAGTTATAAACAAGCTAGTCTGAGAAATCCATGAGGTAACTAAAAATTCTGTAAGATGCCAATCTGCCTTACCCTCTCTGCCCGGTTGGTGTGGAAGAGAAAGGCTTTTAGCTGAAGAATGAGCCCAGCATGCGCTTCTCCATACAGCTTTGCATTCTCTATTCTCGGTTGCATGTTTACAAACTCCTATGATAGGAAAGATAAAAGATATGTTTCTTTGTTAAAAGAAAGTTCAGGTGGTAGAAGAGAAAAAGATCAAAGAAAGCATTTTCTCCTCAGCCAGAAACAGGAAATTTGGGACAAATTTAAAAGCAGAACATCAAAAACTAAATACAATGTCAAATTCAGTGGTAACTTGGATTTAAAACAGGAACACATTTGACATTTGCTCTGCACAAGAACAAAGACATTTTGAACCTATTTTAACAAATGTTCCAACAAGAATTTATTTTATTAACTTGAAAAAATTAGTCCTACCTATAGAGTCACTCAGTCTAAGAGAAGGATATATACATTTTTCAGTCACACTTTCCTGATAAAAATACATGCACACACATTATAAGTATACATACATATTTGTTCTATAAATGGCAGTATAAATATATAAATATAAATTGTATTCTATAAATAAATTTAAGGATTTGTAACATAGTCCTTATAAATATAAAAAATTTGCTCTATAAACTCTTTATTTGTTAGCACTGTTAGTGGTTTTATAAGATTTTTTTCACCTGGCTGGAGTGGCACAGTGGTTGAGTGTTGATCTATGAGCCAGAAGGTCACAGCTTGATTCCCAGTTTGGGCACAAGCCCAGGTTGTGGGCTCGATCCCCAGTAGGGGACCTGCAGGAGGCAGCCAATCAATGATGTTGCTCTCTCTCATCAATGTTTCTATCTCTATCTCTCTTTCTTCCTCTCCCTGAAAAATCAATAAAAACATATTTAAAAGATTTTTTCAAAATAATTTATAGCCTGGCCAGCGTGACTCAGTGGTTAAGCATCGACCTTTGAACCAGGAGGTCACAGTTTGATTCCTGGTTAGGGTACATGCCCGGGTTGTGGGCAAGATCCTCAGTGGGGGATGTGCAGGATGCAGGCGATCAATGATTCTCTCTCATCATTGATGTTTCTGTCTCTTTCTCCCTCTTCCTTCCTCTCTGAAATCAATAAAAATACATTTAAAAAACAATGAGTGGTCCCTGGCCTGAAGTTTACCATTTGATTCTCTTGTCATTGTGAGTAACCTGACTTAATGGATGGCTACTGAGCAGCAGCAGTTAAAGAAGATTCACAGACCGTCCAACGGCCACCTCCGGGAGCCTCAGACACATTCTCACTGATCTCGGAATGTCCTTTTCTTCTTTCAGCTATGCCTCCAACAAGGCAAGCAAAGCCGCTTCTGTTCTCTTATATGCCCTGTGGACACACACGGAGCTCCACAATGCCTACAAGAAGGTAAGAGCGCTCAAAAGGCATGCGTCCTAGTTAGCAGAGCCAGATCCCAATGGCCCACTTGTCTGACCCTGGTGGGAAATCACTAAGAACTGCAGTTTTGTGTGTGCAAATGTTGTTATTGATTATATTTTTTGTTTGCTTATTCCAAAGGCTCAGTTTAAGAAGACAGATTTTGTCAACAGCCGGACTACCAAAGCCTACCACTCCCTTAAAGACTGAGGAAAGTGAAAAAGTGCTCTCAGAAATACCAACCTCACCATTCTCGGCCACACAAAAAAAACCCAAAGGAAAACACCTATTTTTCTACTTTCCAGTCCAAGAAACCTCAGAAATAAAGCATGCCTTGTTTTTATCCTTTTCTATTTCCATGGTCCCCTGAATCCAGAAGACAAATAATCAGAATATGATTTTATTAGTCTTCCAGAAGATTTTCACAAGTTTGCCACCAGAAGACACTGGCAGCAGGCTCTAATTACCCTCCACAGATAGTGGTCTTTGGGATTAGGGCTTATGGCTCATGCCCTCCTGGAACCGAAATGTGAATTTATGTGGAATGGACGTTGACAGAATAAATAAGAAGCTGTTGTAGTATTACTAGGATTTTAAAAGTTTTATCTACATTTCCAAGTTTTGTCACTTATATGCACATTGCTTCACCAGAGAGCCATGCATATATTGTCTGCAGTGTTGAAACAGAATGGAAAGGACAAATATTTGCTAAGTTATCCAGGAGAAAATTTAATGGCAAAACTGTTTTTTGTTTGTTTTGTTATGACTTTGTGCTTGTTCTTATCCTCTTGAATTTTTTCTCTGACTTTAAATGAACTTAAGAAGTTTAAATCATGGAGCATGCATGTCTATAAGAAAAAAGAATTGAAAGGTAGTGATCAAGCAGATTTAAAATCTTTTCTACAGAAAAAGGAACTTTGGCTATGAAATTCAGTGTTTCCTCTAACCACTGAGTAAATGAGATTTTTGCTTAAGGAAATACTTTACCTATAACAACAGCATTAAATGCAAATCTCTTCTGAACAGTAACACTCAATGTAATCTATTTCCTGGACTTAGCCTCTGCAGTGGGCTGGTGGAAGAATGGACTCTATATTTAGCTACAAAAGGAACCAAGGTCTCTCAAACTGCAGGGCCAACCCAGGGCTCTGAAAACACAGTTCATTTAAATGAGTTAAGTTGTTATCAACCAGCCCAAGTTTGCCCAACATTTAAAAAAGAGCACAGAGCCACTAAGTCTCATAATCTTCCTCAAGCCATTATTTTAAGTAAAGGAAACTCTAGAGAAGAAAAATAAAGATGTTATATTGAGGATAAAGGGGTCCAGGCCACCCAGAAGGGATATGAGAAGTACTCATATGTAAAAGTTGACAACATCGTCTATTAGGGCGAATCTGTATTAAGTGTTATTTTAACTGGACTCTGGTTTATGCCATTCATAAATAAGTAATCTTCTCAACTACAATTCTGTTTTGTTATGTTTTTTAAAAGAAACCTTACAATGTTTGTTATAAGAAATAAGAAGTAAAAAATTCATCTCCTTTTGTCCAGAAAAGCGTAATAGAAAATAAATCCCCATTTTCTATTTGAATGTGTATGTAAGTCTTTATTATATTTAGAACTTGAAATTTTTTCCATTTTAACAGCTCAATGGAGAAGATTGAAGTTACTAGCCTAGTTTAACCTGAAATTATTTAGATACCCATTTTTAAAATACTGAAGATAGAAATTCTCTTTTTCCAGAGTTTTGACAATAGGCATTTGGAGTATCTTTATTTCTCCAGGTAACTGATTTCTGTTCAAGAAGTTTCTGTATTTTTTAAGGCACTAGTGGAGCCTTTAGTAAAGTTCACCACAAAGTTAGGCAAAAATAACGTTGCCTGCATTAGAATCTGGGCATTTAATTTATGTATCTTAGTATATGTGATATGATTGATGTGATATTTGAGGATTTGACCTGATAAACTTTAATCTAATGACTAAGAGTTTAATACCTTGTAATTGCTTTGTAATTCTTCCCTAACTAAAGTCCTTAATCCTTTAACAAGTAACTCTTCCTATAAGAAAGATAAGACTAGCTAGTGACTAAAACTTGTTAAAACGGAGATACAAGTGCGTTAGCTATTGTTAAATTTTAGTAAATGGAGTGAGTCTGTGACCACGAAAGATAGACTATATTTGATCCCTGTGTTTTGCTTTGTCACTCTGTTTACAAAAAATTCATGCTTTGTATCTGTGAACATTTCTGAGGGAAGTCATTATTTGATTGATTATCAGTTTTAATCACTGGTCCACTCACAAAGCTCTTTTATTTCCCATGTACCCAGACTATGCCCATGTCATCAAAGGAACTGACCAGCTGAGCAGGGCCCTTGCATTTATTCATGCTAAGAGTTCCAAAGGACTGTGCCTTGTCAGGAATTCTGTGTGGTCTTCAAGAATATGGGATATTCCTGCCATTTCTATAACTGGAAACATTTGTTTATACCCATGGGAATAACTAAAGGATTATCTAACAAAATAGAGAGGAGATTAAATGTCAAGTGGGAAAATAAACAGCATGAGTAGATAAACCACTTTAAATCCAATATAATCACTCTGAAGAAGCAATTTCCTATAAGAAAAGGAAAATGGGAAATATTTGTATTTATATATATTATAGTTATAAATGAAATTTCCTTTAAATAACATGTGTGATGAACTTACTGCATTGGAATGATGAGGACTTCAGTATATGTGTACTTTAAGCAAAACTGAAGAAGCCTCAGTCACAGAATCTGAGGATTAAGAGGGAATTTAGAGGGCATCTGGTCATGTCCTCCTTAAAGTATCTTCTTGCATCAGAAAAGACTCAGTTCTTATTGAAGTGACAGAGAAAAAAAATATGCCAGCATTCATTCAACTAATGCCCAACATGATCCTGTAACTAGCCCAACTTAAGACTCACTAGCTGTTGCATTTAAGTGTTTGTTGTGTGGCTCAGTGGATGACCATCGACCCATGAACCAGGAGGTCATGATTTGATTCCCAATCAGGGCACAAGCTCAGGTTGCAGGCTTGATCCCCAGTAGAAGGCATGCAGGAGGCAGCTGATCGATCATTCTCTCTCATCATTGATGTTTCTCTCTCTCTCCCTTTCTGAAATCAATAAAAATATATTTTAAAAAGTTTGTTTCCTTTTTTATCTATACTTACTAGAGGCCCAGTGCATGAAAATTTGTGCACTTAAGGGGGAGGGGGGGAGGTCCCTTAGCCCGGCCTGAGCCCTCTCACAGACCGGGAGCCCTCGGGGGTTGTCAGACTGATGGCTCCCCTTCAGGGAGTGGGCTTAAGCCACAGTCTGGCCTCCCTCTGCAAGAGGTGACCTGCGGGCTGATCGGGGGATACCGCTAGCCAGCGAGTGGCTGCCCCCCCATCACACCACCACCACCACCACCCCCCCGCCCCCCGATCGCCATTGCCTCCCTCTGCCTGCTGGCACCTGCCTTAGCTGGCCTGGTGCTGCCCGCTCACTGGCCTCACCCCGGGGCCAACCAGTCATTCTGCTGTTCAGTCGATTTGCATATTAGGCTTTTATAATATAGGATTCCTTCCCACAACAAACACTTTATTTTTTTAAAATTGATTTCAGAGAGAGGGAGGGAGAGGAAGATAGAAACATCAGTGATGAGAGAGAATCATTGATTGACTGCCTTCTGCATGCCCCCTACTGGAGATCAAGCCTGCAACCCTGACATGTGCCCTGACCAGAATCGAACAGTGGTTTCCTGGTTCATAGGTCAACACTCAACCACTGAGCCATGCCAGATGGCCGGAAACAAACTTTTCAAAATAAAATTCTTTTTACTAGTAGGTCTAACATTTTAGTTTATACTGGTACTGACCATTTAATCTCTTATGCAATTAAATGTAGCCTTTTAAGGACTATAAGAAAAAGAACTCTCTTTTAATGATTTATTCAAGAAAGAGCACTCAAAATGCCACACATTGGCATAAGAGCTGTTTAAAATAGAAGGGAAAGCATTCTGAAGGCCATAGTTTGGGAAACACAGTTAAAGAACCTGCAATATTTAGCTGGAGAGTGGTGGGTGCTATGTTATTCTGACAGAGTAGAATTGTGAGACTAACTCAGCAATAGTAGACATATTGAGTATGCCCTACTGCATCCTCTGAAGTGTGCATATATTTTTTCTTTTTCTTTTATGTTTATATGTGAAAATAACCTGAAACAGAGAGGTTAAGTGACATTCCAAAGTCACATAGCTGGAAAGTGCAGAGGAGCTATATGAACAGGGCTAGGGGTGACCAGGGCTCCTGTGGGAACCAATAATGACAGACTCATGTCTCCATGCTGGGGAAATGTGGGGTCTCTGGCTTTGATCCCTTAATCATTATGAAACTAGAGGCCCGGTGCACAAAATCCATGCACAGGGGCAGAGGGGGGCTCCCTCAGGCTGGCCTGAACCCTCTCACAATCCAGGACCCCTCAGGGGATGTCCAACTGCCAATTTAGGCCCAATCCCGGGATCAAGCCTAAACTGGCAGTCAGACATCCCTCTCGCAATCCGGGACCGCTGGCTCCTAACTGCCTGCCTGCCTGCCTAACTAATCACCCCTAACTGCTTGCCTGCCTATCTGCCTGATCTCCCCTAACTGCTCACCTGCCTGCCTAATAACCCCTAACCACTGAGCCTGCCTGCCTTATCGCCCCTAACTGCTCGCCTGCCTGCCTGATCACTCCTAACCACTCTGCATGCCTGCCTGTTCACCCCTAACCACTTGCCTGCCTTCCTGATCACCCCTAACCACTCTGCATGCCTGCCTGATCTCCCCTAACCACTCACCTGCCTGCCTGATTGCCCCTAACCACCTCTGCCTCAGCCCCTGCCACAGCAGCTTTGTCCGGAAGGACATCCAGAATGACATCCAGAAGGTCGTTTGGCTGTCCGGTCTAATTAGCATATTATGCTTTTATTATTATAAATGTCCCTCTTTGTCTCTTGTTACAGCCTTATTCTAAATTCTATTTAGTCATATAAATATTGCTACCCAGATTTTTTTTCATTTCCATTTGCATGAAATACCTTTTTCTATCTCTTTACTTTCAGTCTGTGTGTGTCTTTCAATTTGACTTTGGTCTCTTGTATGCAGCATATGTACAGGGCTTGTTTTTTTATCCACTCATCAACCCTGTGTCTTTTAATTGGAGCATTTAGTCCATTTACATTTAAAGTAGTTCTTGATAGGTGTGTAGTTATTGTCATTTTATTAATTGCTGTCTGATTGTTTTGGAGTTACTCTCTTCTCTATGTTGGTGACGTTCTACAGTGTTGTGTTTAGATTTCTTTCTTTCTTTTTATATCTCATAAATTTTTGCTTTGTGGTTACCATGTCCTTCCTATATACCAAGCTATATTTATAGCAATCTATTTTAAGTTGATGGTTGCTTAAGTTTAAACACATTCTAAAATAACTACAGTTTTTATTCACCCTTCTCTGTTTATGTTTTTGTCATTATTTTTTGCTTTTGTGTGTGTGTTTGGTTATATCCCTTCATTTTACTGTAATTACACATGATCTTCCTAGTTTTGCCTTTTAACCTTTGTACTAGCATTATAGTTGGTTGAACCACTATTACTAAATGTTTGCCTTTGTCAGTGAGAATTTTTTTTCTTTCCTATATTTTCTTAATCATATTTATTCTTAGTCTTTTCTACTTTAAGAAGTCCCTTTAAAATTACTTTCTATACTGACTTAGCAGTGATAAACTCCTTTAGCTTATTCTTATCTAGGAAACTCTTTATCTCTCCTTTGATTCTATATTGTAGCCTTGCTGGTTAAAGTAATCTTGGTTGTAGGTCTTTCATCTTCATCACTTTGAAGATTTCATGCTATTCCCTTCTGGCCTGCAAAGCCTCTGTTTGAAAAATCAGATATCTTATGGGAACTCAACTTGTACATAACTAACTGCTTTTTTCTTTCTACTTTTAAGATTCTTTCCTCATCTTCAACCTTTGGCATTTTAATTTGACGTGTCTTGATATGGACCTCTCTGGGTTCATCTTCGTTTGGTATTCTCTGCACTTCCTGGACTTGGATGTATGTCTATTTCTTTGCCTGCTTAGGGAAGTTTTCAGTCATTATTTCCTCAAATAAATTTTAAATCTCTTGTCCTCTTCTCCTTCTGGTACCCCCTATGATGCAAATGTGATATGCTTGATGTTGTCCCAGAGGTCCCTTAAACTATCCTCAATTTTTTAAATTCTTTTTTCTTTCTGCTATCTCTTTGGGTGCTTTCCACTACCTTTTCTTCCAGATCGCAGATTTGATCCTCTGCTTCATCTAATGTTCTGGTGGTTCCTTCGAATGTATTCTTTTTTAAAAAAAATATATTTTATTGATTTTCTACAGAGAGGAAGGGAGAGGAATAGTTAGAAACATCGATGAGTGAGGAGCATCAATCAGCTGCGTCCTGCACACCCCCTGCTGGGGATGTGCGCGCAATCAAGGTACATGCCCTTGACCGGAATCAAACCTGGGACCCTTCAGTCTGCAGGCCGACGCTCTATCCACTGAGCCAAACCAGTTAGG